CAAGTCGTTCTGGGAGAGAGTCGGTCAACAGTGTTATACGGGCGCGTTCCGTTGGGAAAGTTCGTAAACGGGCGACTCTCAAAAGGCGCTCTGCGGGGGAAATGGCACTTTGGGTCGGGAAATCATTTTTCGATTTTGTTCGCCGAGCCAAGCCAGAGATATTTTGTGACGGGAAGAACAACGCGCATCCACTTGCGGCCATTCGCAAAAGAGAACAAACCCAACTCAGCGGACCCAAATGTCACAATCGGGACATTTTGCGAGGAAATTGAGACCAGATTGTTCAGCACAATATAGACGACTTACAAAAAAATTTGGGGACTTCCCGATGAACCTAAAATGCAAGACAAGTTGTAGATGTCAACTTGGCCCTCCTGTAAACATTTCAATGCTTAGAACACAGGTGTCAAACTCCAGGCCCGAGGGCCAGATCTGGCCCACCACATCATTTTATGTGGCCCGCAAAAGCAAATCAAAGTTGTCAACTTTCATGACGCTGGCTAAAATTTCGACCCAAATTTCAAATTCTCATTTGTAACAAATAAAGTGATCGATACCGTCAGCATTTTCTTGTTCCCAAACCCCTCATTACAGTTAACTTAAACAAGAGGTGAATAAAGCATTATTCTTGACTTCTTCATATGGTTTCAGTCATAACGGCCCGCGACAAAAATGAGTTTGACACTCCTTGCTTAGAATGTCATGAGCAAATTGAACAGATGTACATTTAAAAGTTCCGAGGAGATTCATTAAATCGGTTCACCTGTCCAAGTTATCGTCGTGCATTTTAGGTTCACCCTCAAATTTCACCCAAAAGCAAAAACTGCCTCCGAGTTGTTTGGGGGTTGCTGTCTGCGCCTTAGCTCTAAAACAGGTTGGGGGAAAAACAGCTCGAAACCATCAAGCAGAAATTTTTCAAGAGCGAGGCATATGTTGTGCCAGCAAACAGGTGACAATAAAATTTTCATGGCTATTCCAGCTCAAAGAAAAAAAAATGTTTTGAAGGGTCTCTACCTTGCCGTCACAGTGTCGCTTGCCCAGGCGAGTCTCCTCCGGGTGGTAGAACCACTTGACCCGGACCACCATGCTGGAGCTCCACGACTCCCACAAGCTCTCCACCCTGCCGACGTAAGGCAGCTGGGGCCGGCCGGGCGACAGGAACACGGCGCAATCGCCCACCCGCACCGTCTCCTTGCCGCGCACGACGGCCTTGTAGAACAGCTTGCGGGCTTTCCCCTTCAGACCCCGCCTCTAGTGGCGCAACAAAATGAGGAATAAGAATCTCGGGACAGGATATGAAAAGCTCTGATGCGGGATCGCCGAATATGTTAAAGTGTGCTTACACCAAGGAGTTGTTTTTTTTTTTTTTTTTTTAAATGTCATTCATTGTGGCTGATCATATTTATTGCCAAAACTGCTTTGGCAAAGAACACTTGAGCACCGAGTCAGGCGTTTTCAAACCTTTTGGCTCCAGGGATCCCGTTACAGGGAAGACTCCCCTCCCGCCTCCCACCAAGAAAACTCCTCATATCACCTCGATGCCAATCGCAAAACAAACGTAAGCTTCTCGGGTGTTTCTCGTCTTACCTGTGTGGGACTACCGGACCATTTCCACAGCTGGCGTCCAGACAGTAGCGGAGCGATGCCGGCTTGAGGTTCCGGCGAGGACATCCTCTGCCTTTTAGCCGCCGCCGGGTCCTTGGAAGAAGGTTTGGGGCCGCTCGGACCTTGGTGGTGGCTATTCGGAACCCCTTCTTTTCTCTTCACTTGGGTCTTGGCTGAACTACTGTTATTGGCCACACTTCCTTTGGAAATGTACTCTGTCCTCTCCTCTGTCCTGTCCTCCGTCCTGCCCTTTGGTCCGGAGTGGGCCACGCCAGCCTTGGCCGCATAGGGATGAACCGTGACCGCGGCCGAAGGGTTGGAGTCGTTGACCTCCGACCTCAGGTTCTGTCTGTGTTTGTGTTTGTCCTGCTGGAGCAGCGCGCGACGCAGGAGGACGGATGAAGACTCCTCGTCGGACGAGTAGGAGGAATCGTTGTCCGAGGAGCAGAGGGACGAGGACGAGACGGAGCCCGACGTCGAGGACGAGGAGGAGGAAGAGGAGAAGCAGACCGACAGGCGGGAGAGGAAGCGGCCGCCGCGATGCGACGACGCGGCCGCCGCGGCTCTTCTTCGCGCTCGGGCATCTTGGCCGCCATCTTCGTCGTCTTCGTCGAGCTCGGAGTAAGAACTCGGGCCGTCGCTGTTGTAGTCCAAACTGTAATCTCCGGTTTGGCCTCCGTGGCTGGTCGCAGGCGGATCTTTCTGAAGTGGGGCGTCGCCTTTTAGAAGAGGGTCCGGCCGGACTCCGGGGTGCTCTCGATCAAGTCCTCCATTTTTTCCGTCTTTCACCAGCACGGCAGGGTGAATGTAGCGGAGCGGGGCGCCCGCCGGGGATACCGTTCGACCTCCTTTGCTTCCATTTCCGATTCGAAGTAGGGCCTTGCCGTTCTTCGTTTTTGGCGACGTCACCCCTTCGTGATCGAGCTTCACCAGGAACTGTTTCCTGTCTCGCTCACTCATTGGCTTCTTGCTCCCCGGCGCCGCCGTCGCGGCGATGACCGAGGGGCAAGCGGAGACGTCCCGGGGCCCGCAGGAAGATCCCGGGTTTGCGTGTCGCGCCGATCCGGAGCTCCCGCCGCTACCGAAGGCGGAGTAGCCGTTGGCGATGCTACTAAAAGAGTCGACGGCAAAAGGGGAGCCAAAGATGCCTCTGAGGGGGGTTGCGGGTGTGAGCGAGTGGGAGGCGGGGCGATGAAACAACCCCGCGTCTCGCTCTCGGTATCTCTTCTGGGTCTTGCGCGAAGTCCCGTTGAAGAGGAAAAAGTCGACCGGGGGTCTCTTCCTGGGCGCGGACCAGCTCGCCAAGGAAGCGTTACCTTTGGTTCGAGAGTCCGACTCCGATGTTGCCGCGCCGGCGGTCTTGGGGACTGAGTGGATTTTCTTGGGCCGGCCAACTGCGAGAGGAGACGACGGCGGAGAGGAGTCGGAATCAATACGACGTGACAGTTGTTGGGAACGGCCCGAGATTAATCGTGCAAGTAAGAGCTCGGGAGAAATTTAATACCATTATCTGCACCGAGCCAGGTCGGTTTCGACATATCCACTACCTGTCTCCACCTGAAGCATTAGCGTGACGAGTGACACGCATGTTTCATCCTAACACAAAAACGCCGCCGACACCTCATCCAGTCGTGATGAATGCGGTTCTACAGCGCATAAAAGGAATTTGGTTAATAGATCTCAATTGACAGCGGGCTCCTCTCCGACTCCGGTGTCAAGTTGACGGCTAGAAATGTGACCCCCCCCGAGGCCCGTCTGTGCGGAATGTACAAAGTTAGAAAAGTACGTCGGAAAAGACGTAAGCTGTCCGTCTATTCTTCCGATTAAATATGAGGAATGTGCTCTCGTTTTTGGAGGGAAACTTAATAGGCGTGTTCATCGGGGGACGATGTACGATTCCCTCACCTGGTCTCTTCTCTTGGATTTTCCCGACTTGTTGTTCCTCATTGGCTGGTTTCTCGGCGGCCGTGTCTTTCTTCTCCTGCGTCGAGCTGCGTCGGTATCGGCGTCCGGGTGTGACCAGAAGCGCCGGTGATGGTTCCGCACCTGACAAGCGAGCTTTGCTAAATGCTAGTTGATTCCCCCCCCCCCTGTACATTTTTCCACTTACAGCAGATTTGGTATCCAGGCGGCAGAAGTCTGATGTTAGCCAGCGTAATCCGTCCTCTGTCGCCGTCGTCAAACTCCACCATCACGCTTCCCTCCTTCTCTTCACCTGTGCCCCCTGCAGTCCAGCACATGAGGATTAATTCAGTTTTTTTTTCCATGGGTGTTCCTGGGGATTTGTGTCACATACACACACACAAACACACCTCGGTGGACATAACCGGGATAAAGACAACGCGAGCGCTCGCTCCAGTAGGCACACACTCGCGTCCCGGCCATTAGGATGGCCTCAGTCTGGGGCCGCACATCCAGAACCTTGAGCGAAAGACAGAAAAATAAGAAATACAGTCCATTTAGCCAAAACGTCAGAGGCCACAGACAGCACAGCGGTGCCATTAATCAATTTGAGCCGTCCCTCCCTCAAAAAAAAACACAACAAAAATGTTATTTCAGTGAGAAGAAATAGCACTCTTTATAAAAACAGAGCGAGACATGCTCTTTTTTTTTTTTTATGGGGTTGCAGGGCTGAAACTTACAGCTTCTTGTAGGATTTGCTCCAGTGAATAGATCCGGGGGCGATTCCCGCGCTCCCCTTCTATGACAACACTAAATCTAGGGGACACAAAAAAAGATACCAAAAACAAAAAAAATAGAACGGATGTACATGGTTACACAGTTGTAAGCTTTTTGAATGTACCAGACAGCAGAACGAGTCAGTCAGCCGAACTTACATATCAGGCAGGTCCAGAGTTTGGACAAGGGCGGCGTAGAGCAACTCGTCCTCCTTGGATATCAAAATCTTCAGGCCGTCAACGAGCATCTCTTTACTGAGCACACAGTTGGGCAGAGCTGATGCGGAGAAAATGGACGGAAATGAGATCATATCGATCATCAAAATGTATACGATAGGCGTGGAATGACCATGTGAGGTCATTGTTACGAAAAAAAAAAAAGAACTCTCCATGTGTCAATTGTGGGGGGCCTACCGGGTATTTTGCAAGGCATTTTGGGAGGAAGGTGCACCGTCGTCTGTGGGCTCCCCTCGTCCGCATCTTCCTCCTCCTCCTCCTCTTCCTCCTCAGAGAAGCTGCTCTCCTCATCCAGGTGAAAGCCATCGTCGGCCGTGAAGCTCTGCAGGAGTCGGCTGACCCCGTGACCCGGGACCTGCAGTTGGGAACAAGATTGGGACGTCAGTGGGCCGAAAGTCGCATTGATGTCGCGTTGACTCACTATACGCAGAGGACAATTCATTAGGTACAAGGACTTCCAGTAGTGCAAATATAGCACACAACAAACGGCTGCGCTATCTGTACCGAGAGTGTACTCGTAGATATTAAAAAAAGCTTCGGAACTACGACACCCGAAACCGCGGTATTATTCTGTCCTCGCTGAGCGTGCGGTTTGGCTATTAAAAAAATAAGTGTGACTTGAATGCTAACACAGAATGCAAAAC